CCCCAAGAGGTTCTGGTACAGGATTAGGGCACTGGCAGAATCCACCAGCCTGCAAGAGCTGGGTTTCTCGCCCAGTTTTGGCCAGCACCTTGCCCTCACTTTGCTCCAGGCTGCAGGGCCACCGGGTGGCTCTTGTGGAGCTAGTGCAGATCGCCTTGCCTCTGCCTCCTCTTTTCAGGGTGGGCAGTTATGGACGGGCAAGCAGGGACCCAACTGCCCACTTTTCCAATACCAAAACTGGAAGCTTCACATGATGCTAATGAGAACCAGTTCCCAGCACAGAGGGCAGCTGAGCTGTCAGACTCCTTGCTGAGGGATGCTGTGAATGCTGGCAAGTTTCCTTGGATTCAAAAGAAAGTGGGACAAGTTCTGGAGATGGTTATAAATTCATAGACCTCCTGCATTGCAGGGTCCAGGGTGGTTTCAAAACAGCTGGAGACTCAGAGCTCCTCGGGAGGAAGCATCCCATGTGCTCGTCTTCATCCTCCACCCGGATCCTGGGAATACTCACCGTCCTGGTTGCTCGGGGTACTTCTGCTTTGTGTAGGCTTCCAGCGTGGCGTAGACCTTCTCCCGCAGCGACTCCACCTCTGAAGGACTGGACAAACCCTTGGCATCTGGACGAGGGAGAGACCCCAGACAGAGAGAATCACTGCAGCGAGGAAGCTTTTTGACTCTGGAAGGCCAGGCTTGGCCCACCTCCCACCACGTATGACCCGGAGCACCAGGCTGGTCCCCGCCATGCACCTGGCCACACCAGGCGTATGTCACATCGTGCCGCTGGACCAAGACACGTAGGAGCAGACCACAGAGGCGGCAGGTGCTGTCTGTAGGGAAGGACCGCGGGAGCAGCCTGGGGAAGGGAGCAGCGTGGAACTGCCCTGGCTCCGAGGGCCAGCAGCCCTGCGACTTACCCGGGTTAAACAGGACGATGGCTCGCAAGCACCCCAACTCCGACTTGTCCATCTGCATGTCCTTCATTTTGGACACCAGCTCTGTCAAAACCCTGCGGAGAGGGGGCACTGTTTTCACTGCAACTCACTATGCAGAGCATGAGCACTGCCCTCTCACATATAAGAGCGGCAGTGCAGCGCGTCCTGCTGGGCAGGGCGCAGATGTGGCATGGGCACCGCACGTGCAGTCGTTACACAAGCAAATGCAGCAAGTTGGGCTTTTAAGGCTGTGACGGTTATAGCTCTTGCAGATCGGTATTAGCTCTAGATTCAGTTATGGCTAGCCCTCGAGCTGTGAGGAGAGGGTAGACAAGCCATCCCACCGCTAGAGAGATGCGCACACAATGAAGGACACTCTTTTGCAGCTTCAGATCCCTCTCCAGGGTGCCTTCATCCCCTCCTTGGTTTTTTAGTCAGTTGAACATGCCCTCCTCGTTCTCACCTAGTTCTGCCCCAAATTGCCTCGGTTTGTTCTAATTCTCACCAAGGGGACGTTCCCTTTTCAAAGGAGAGGGACAGAGGCGGCCCGGCCGTGACTGCTGGGGACGACGGAAACGGGCCCCATACCTGTCGAAGATGGAGCCCACGCCAGCACTGTGCGCGCTGCTGCGGTGCACGTGCAAGCCCGTCGCCAGAAGGATGCCATCTTGCACGGACACAGAGCGATGGGAGAAGGAGGCGATTAGCAGCTCGTTCCAGCCTGCAGGAGGAGGGAGAGGGAAGCACGCAGGATGTAAGGGCTGTTGAGGAGGAAGGTCAGCAAAACCTCTCTCTACCTGGTGTGGAGGTTGAGCAGAGGACAAAAGACACTACGCCAGCAGCGATTTGGGGTGCGCACACCCAGAAACCATCATTGCCAAATAGAAGAGGGCAGCTGGTTTCTCCCTAGTGGCACAACACAATCCCCAAGAAGGAGATGGATGCACCAGGAAAAGCCATGGAGGCTGCCGGTCGGGGACGGTACCTGCCCGGAGGAGAATGACTTGGTCCTCCAGCGTCAGGTCGGAGAAGTGGGGGATGCGCTTGGCCCACTCGACGAGCGTGAAGAGCTGCTTGTCCGCGGCGTGGCATATGTTGGTGACGGGGTCGTTGGTCTAGCGGAAGAGCAACACCGAAGGGAAGGATCAGAGGAAAACAGGAGAATTTGTCACTGTAAAATCACTGAAAATCACCACCTGCACTGTACGCAATATTGTGTTAACAATACTCAGAGCCACTAGTAACATGATCAAATCACCTATAACCTGAGCCATGCAGTTTTGGGGAAAGGAGATCTTTTATTACTACTGTTCCCACAAAAAAAAACCATCCAAATTCACCAGTTGCTAGCCCTTTCTGTTTGCTCACTGTTCTTTGCAAAGCAAGTTCTCCAGGGCAGGCCAAAGCCCCTGCTTTTTAGCAAGGGTTTTTAGGTGGTGCAGAGCAAAAACCCCTTGGAAAACGCTAGCCCTTCCTAAGGAGTTTGTCCTGTCAAATCTCACCTAGGAGGCTCTCATCTCAAGCTGCCAGGGATTCTGCTGCAACAGGGCAGTGCTGCTTACCGAGCTCTCTGTGCTCACGTCGCTGTACGCCTCCGTCTTGGGCTCCACCGCCAGCTCGGCCTCCAGGATCCTCTCCACAGGCATGTCCTCGCTGCCGGTGCTTGTGGACTCTGCTTCGTTCTCGCTCCGCTCCCGGCTCCGCTGCCTCTCCTCTTGCACAGCTGGAGCACAGGAAAGCCGTCCTTTACACCCACGCCAACGCTCTCCCGACCCCCCTTTCGCGGCGGGCCCTCTTTTCCCTAGGAAGGAGGGCTGAGATATCCCGTTGAGGGGCAAGGAAGGGAAGAACAGAAGATAAGTAGATGCAGCACAGGTAGGTCTGTTAAAATGACAGTCACCGGGCTGGTCCCCACCCCAGTAACTTTGGGGTTCCTGTAGACCAGCTGCCTCCAGACTCGTCAAAAAGGTTGTGATTTCACAGGCATTAAGCCCCAGAAAAGGAGCAGTTCATACCTCCAAGGGGCAGCCTGGACTCGGCCGCCTGCAGATGCTGGAGGAGGGACCCTTGCTCCGAAACGCTGAAGGCACCGAGGTTTGCTGCTTTCACTGGGTGCCGAAGCCCTGATTTAAGCTGGTGCTTGGAGCCGTACGAGGGTGCAGGGCTGCCCGCGACTCCTGCTGCTGCAGGCTGGGAGCCCGCTCTCTTGGGGAGCCTAACTTGCCAGCAAAATCGGCCCCCAAAAGCCACACCGGGATTTATGCCCCCAGAAGAGTCCCACGGTGGCCAGGGCAGCCGGTGGCAGGGCAGGCTGGCCCCCCCCGCCCCACGCGACCTGGGCTCCCAGCCCTCCTCCCCGGGAAGCTCTTCCCAGCAGCTATGCTGAAGTGCAATCCCCAGTGCTTTCACCCTCTTCTCTCCCCTCTCCGTGCATTTTCCCCAAAAGCGTCTGATAGGATCCCCAGGATCACTGAAACTCTCCGCACACCTATGCTGTTACCTCCCAGGATTTCGGGGTGTGCGGCAGGACAGGCAGACGCAGGACACACGCGTGCTGAGCCTTGGGCCCCCAGAAAGTTCTGTCTGTGCATTTTTGTTTGAGCTATCGCAGAGGGAATCAAGGAAACCTTACTAGAAAACAAGTGGTGGCTGACCAGCAGGTGTCCTTCCAGTCCAGCTCATAGCTGGGCAGAAACGTCTCAAAACGCAACCCTGCCAGGCAGGCATTGGCATTTCGTTAGGCGACAGCTTAATGACTTCCCGATCGTTTAACTAAGCCCTGGGCAGTCGGTAGCCAGAAGCCCTGGGAAACCACCCCCCTAGGAAGCCAAGGGGCAAGACGTCCTTTCAGAGGAGCGGGGACCTGCGCAAGCACCAGCGAACACCGAGGAAGGGGCCAGCTCCTCGAGCAAGCGCCTCTCGAAAGCCCCAAGATCGCGTGAGAGTTTCAACCCCCGTTTTGTCAATCAGGTGAGCGCTGCTGGACGAAGAAGGACGAGAGCAGCTTCCAGGTCCAGTGCCTGGGTCGGGAGGTCTCTTCCCCATGTTACAGCACTGCTGTTTGTGCCGTGCCTTACCCTGCCTCGCGTCAGGGTGCTCTCATGGTAAAGGCCAAGCCTTTGCGGCGATCGGTCCAGGCGTGATGAGCCTCAGCCCCAGGGCTCAGGACCACGCTCAGGACCGCTCTGGCAGCTGGAAGGACACGTGCCCTGCCTGGGAACGGCCGCGGGGAGACAGCTGACAGCCTGGCAGGCTGGCAAAGGGGCCCGAGGAGGTCCACGTGTGGGAAGAAGCCCTCAAGGTCTCAGTGGAAGGAGAGCACACGCAGGGAACAGCAGTCCTGTCGCTCAGCTTCTCCACTCATCCGGGACCCCTCGTTCAAGCTGCAACCTGATCCCAGTGGCTACAGCCCCGGACAGCCCCCTGGGCTTACTGCAGCCAAACCGCCGGCGACCGCGGGCTCGTGGAGGAGCGCTCTTGCGCTGCCCAGGCGCACCGAGAGCCTCAAGGGTTTCCATCGCCACGCTCCGCAGAGGGAAGCGGCATCGGCGCCCTGCTCCTCGGAAGCGCTTCGCGCTCCCCGGCTGCAGGGCAGGGCTGTGCCTGGGGCGGGGGGTTTGACTCGCACGCGGGGTTTCGCGGTTGCTGGCTGCCGGGAGGGCGCCAGGGCTGCGGCTCAGCCTGCGCCCTGCTCCGCAGCTTCCTCGCCACTCTGCCCCACGCCGTCTCAGCTCCCGCTGGGCCCCTTTCACGGGCTCTGCGGGGGCCAGCGTGGCCTTCAAGAGGGGCAGTTACCCACCTTGCTGGCATTTAACTCCGGAGGCGGCACTGTTATTTTACCTTGGAAAAAAGCAGCTTAAAAACCAAGCTGTGGGTCACTACCTGACCTCATATCTGCCAGTACAATTTGGGAAACAGTCCAGCTCACGGGTCCTCTTTGCCCAGCCAAGGCGGGCAGCAGGTAGCTGCAGATGGCCAGCAGAGACAGACAGAAAAACACCCTTGCCTTTGGGCTCGTCTTTCCGGCGACACCGATTTGATCAGTGGAGGCCATCCCAAAGGCTTTTGCGCTCTCCAGAGGCTGCGTGGGAGCGAGGCAGGGCCACAGGGCCCACCGCGGACACATGCCACGGTCACCTTGCCTCTGCCTTGAAGGGAGCTGCTGTCTCCGAGTCCAACGGCCTCAGGTCAGATCATAGCTCCAGATCAACACCGTAGGTGGTTTGGGCCAGGAACAAGAGCCCTTTGGGGGGACGCGGTGAGTGTGCAGGGAGCAGGGGAGAGGCTGCAAAAGCTGCTTCCTAACAGCACTCTCCTGCAGCGTGAAACAGCCACAGGACACGAGCTGCACCAGAGCTCATCTCCGAAGAGCGAAAGCGTGAAAATGAGGGAGAATTATAAAATCAAGGACAGAAATAAGTCATTCTGCCTGTTTTTCCAGTGCAAGAATTAGCGGGCAACAAATGAAGCCAGCAAGCTGAAAGCAAGCAAAAGGAGGCAGCCCTTCCCAGGGTGAATAGACAAGCTGCCGAGTTCCCCACTGTGAGATGTTGTAGACAGCAGAAGTTTACAGTGGCTCAAGCAGCAACTGGACAAAACCCAGATGACGACTCCCTCCGGACATCCCATGTGGCTTCGAGGTGGCCCGGGGCAGAGCCTCCTCCCCACTCACCTGCTCTTGGCAGCAGTTGGGGGTTCAGGATGCTCTGGGCCACCTGGAGATCTGCCTCAGGGAGCAGCTCGGTTTGGCTCATCCTGCCGATTCACAGGACCGCGCCATCCCATCACTGCACACACCCACGGTGTCTTCCCGCTGCGCCCATGGGGGGACGCGACAGCCTAGACTGTGGGCACCGTTCTGGCCACCCAGCCTGGCCTTGGCAACGTGGCTGCCTGGGAAGAGGCGCTGGGTAGGAGCCAGAGCTGGCGCTGCTTCCCCAAGGGATAGCTTTCCTACAAACACCAACTGGCATCCTGGCCTCTGGTCTGGAAAAGTCCTACCCGAAATGAGCATTCTGGGAGTCGCATGACTCCTGCAGCCTGGTTTTCTACAGACATCTCTCTCGCGGGCTGGACTGCTCCTTGCAGTTGGGTCATGAAGAACAACCCTGCCTAGTCCTGTGCAAATTCTCTGACATCTGATAAAAGTTGAGTCCCACTCTACACCCTTATCTCAGCAGGTTCCCATCAGCCTCATTTCCCTTGTGAAACCAGGCCAAAGCGCTCTGAAATTGTCAGTTTGGGTTTTTGGAGTGCTCTAGTCCCAGGGGGCCACCAAGAGCCAGATTTACCCTGACACAAAGAGTGTGCATGTAGGCAATATGCGCCCTCCCTCCACCTGTCTGTGCATACCTTCCCTCTTCATCCCCATTGCGAGGCACTTCTGATAGCGGCAGTACTGGCAGCGGTTGCGCTGGCGCTTGTCTATGAGGCAGTCCTTGTTGTCACGACAAGTGTAGATCAGGTCCTTCCGGATCGTCCTCTTGAAGAAGCCTTTGCAGCCCTCGCAGCTGTATACCCCATAGTGCTTCCCTGCGGAGCAAAGGGGAGCCCACCACCGTGGACCCAGCACGGGTGAGCTTGAACCAACCCAAAAGGCAAAAGGACTGGCTGCAGGGAGTCACCAGAGGAGGCTTGGCTTGGCTTTGGGGACTATTAGTAGGAATAATGACCGGTGGCAGTCCAAATTCAGGCCAGACCTCCACTTTCTGGTGATGCAGGGGTCAACATCCAGCCTCATCCCATGGCAGGGCTGCAGAGCCGCTCCACAGCTGGGGTGCAGGAGCTAGAGAGCCCCAGGTAGCACACGGGGTGCACTGCCGTGGAGGGGTCTGCCAGGCACGGCTGGGTCACAGTCACTCTGTGTACATGGAAAACCCAGATGTGGCCAGAGCCCCGCTAACATAAAACACAGGTTGTAAGAACACAGTGATTTTAGGATAGTTGCCATTAACAAGCAGGTATAAAATGAGGTCACGCATGTCTGAGGGAGAGGAGCATGGCTTTGGGGGTGGTTCTCTTTTTGGCACTCATCTGCAAAGCAGATAGCCTGCCCTGGGGTCAGCCAAGCCCAGCTACGAGTCCTGAATTGCTAGTACAGCAACGGTGAAAGCCCACAGCTTTCGCTGCCGTGCCAGCCTTGGTTCAGGGCAGCCAGAGAGGTTTTCATGGCACAGAGCCCTCTCAAAGAAAAGAAACCTCTTACCTGAGGATCTGTCCCCACAGATGGCACAGATGTGTTTGGCTAAGGATCCTGGGCTCGCGGATGGATAATTCATGCTTCCAATCCCTGGGAGACCTGTCAAGGGCTTGATGTCTTCAGAGCTGCTGACGTTGTTCAGGACATTGAGCTGCAGAGGCACAATTCATAGGACCTGAGGTGGGTTTAGTGCCTAAAACTGGTACCCCAACAAAACCACTCCATTTTTTGCTGGGCCCTGAAGCTTTTGGTGCCAGATGGGGCCAGGTGAGCTGCCCTGCCAGGCTCATCCTCCAGCTCATCCCTGGTGATCCCATGCAGGCAGCACAGTGAACCTAGCTGAAAGGGTTGGAGCAGTTACCCAGTAGCAAAGATTCGCTCTCACCCTGCTCTGACGCTGTAACTGAAGACAGGACTAAGCAGGAAAAAAAGGCAGGCAGCAACCCTGAGATGCTCAGTTTCAACCTCCAAGCCATGGGGCTGGTGAGATCTCACCTGCTTCATTAGAGGATGAGGATCAGCAGCTGCTTGCAGCATCAGGTGCTAAATGTTTAGTAAGGAAGGGTTTGGCAGCCAGGGAATTTGTTGCAATTAAACTCGCACTGCTGCGTGGCTGGAGGAGGTGAAATGATGTTAACCCACTTAACACTCATTATTATTTTTAACCAAGAGCCCCTCCCTGATTCGTGGAGTACAAATCTGAATGAAAACACAGCCACCTCAGTCAATTCCTAGGACTGAGGTTCCCAAGTACTGCCACAGGCTAGAGAAGGGGCCAGATGTGGGGTTCTCAGACATTAAAAAAGGGGCTAGACTGAGCATCTAAAACCAGCTGCAGTGAAATGCAGGCAAAAGGCTCAGGGCACCAGCTGAGATCCCAGGGAGCTGCTCGCGGCTGCTGGAAGTTAAAGGTTACAAACCGACATCGATTAGAGACCTGAGCCTGATGTTGCCCAGGGCTTAGTTTTATTGCTGTTTGCTTTCGAGCTGCTCTTGGCAGGGCAGTAGGATTAAGGGCCGCTTGAGCACACGTTGTCTGGGCAGGGCAACGTGGAGGCCTGTCTCTCCAAAACCACCCTCGAACCACCATAGCAGCCTCTGTGCTCTGAGGGCTGGGGATGGCTTCTTTTTCGCTAAGATTGTTTTTAATAATCTCCTCAATTTGTCAGTTATATTTCTTGCTCCAAGCAAAGGGACGGAAGGAGGGACAGGAAACGAGGTTTTGGAGGAAAGTCCAGCTACAGCCTTAGCTACGGCCTCCATCGTATCTAAACCACTTGAGTTCATGCATGTTGCCACAAGTTCCCCATTTTCTCCTAGGACTTACCCATTTCTCACCAAAAAATGTACAAAATTTTCCATGGGGAATTTCAGCAAAGAACAAGAGTGTGGGTCCCATCCAGGTTTTGGACCTTTCATTAGGAGAAGCAAAAGACAAAGTCTGTGCGTCTTCCCCCATCCCAGGCCCTTCCTTTTCAAAGCTTCAAAGGTTTGATGACATTGAAAACCCAAATTATCCAGCAACTATTACAATGCTAAGAACCAGCTTGTTTTCCCCCAGTAGAAAATAAAAGCTCAGGGAAAAGGTTTGGCCAGAGGAACCGAGGTAAACTCCCTCCAGCAGGGAGCCAGCCCAGCCACTGGAGAGCTGTAAATCCAAATGCTCCAAAAACTGAACTTGGCCCAAGGAAAGGAGAACTCAAACCCCACCTCCTCCAAAGGTCCAGCCACTTTCCTTACCCTGAAAATTTCTTGCCAAGATGCTCAACTGGGAGGAAATTTTATGGTTTAAAACATTACTGAGAGCTCAGGTATCAGCTTTTCTTTCTCTCTGGCTGCTCTTCCAGAGAATAACAGAGAGAGAGGGTACACATGGGGGAGCAAACGGGGCAGTTTTAGCCATCAGTGTCTTTGGAGCTCAGCTCCAGCAGGTTAAGTGCAATCATGTATGATATTTGGGACACCTGCTTGAACCCAAATCCATTAGCTGCCTCCCTGCCGAATCCCCAAGGCTCAGCTGTCTCCTTGCGTTAAGGTGAAGGCAAGTGAAACACGCTCCTCAGAGCTGGTAACTTGACATAGCAGCTAGCTCAGCGCCCAGGTCGAGAAAACTGCTTCCTGGTATGTCCTCAGCTCTGAGAGAAAGGTATCTGTACAGCCAGCATTGCCATGAGCTCCAAGACAAGGAAGTACCTGCCCCCAGGTATAAGGGGTACAGATGTTGTCAGGCTGATGGGGAAACAGCCGGGTGCAATACAGGGAGGAGGTAGCCCAGCATGTCCACCACAGGCAGCTTGGACTTCCGCAGAAGCGAAGGTGCTGGCGGGCCAAACCTTTCAAATCACCGGCCCTCATAACTCTCCAAGCTCTTCAGGGGCCTCCTCGCACCATCCTTCTCTAGCATTTGCTGCAGGCGCCGGGGAGAAGTGCTTCTGCGGACGGGCGATTCCAGCTGGGGCAGCAGGATAGGAGACGGCGAGGACTTGGAGGTGATCTCCTCCCTGCTTGCCTAGCTGGAGCTGCAAGGCTCTTAAGCACTCCCTACCTCTGGACTCCACCAATAAAATGCAGAATCTTGTTGATAAAACACAATATTCTCACTTAGACCTGCATCCCCCAGAGCGCTTCAGCACATCGTCAGCTCCACTAACGGTCAGGGCATCAAGGGAGGCAAAATCCCACGCTGTCACCATGGTCCCTGCCGTGTCAAGGAGGAGCACCTGATGTAGCTCAGGCAGTAAAGACGGGAGAGCCTCCTTACCCTTCAATTCAAAGTTTATATGCAACGCAGAGTATGTGGCTGGCATTTAGCATTTACCTTTTTCTCTCTCTAGAAAGTCCGTCTCTTTTCTTAATGGCGAAACAAAGCAGATATCCTTCATCAGGAGGAAGGGGAGTGTTTCGCGCGCTGCAGCCCTTGGCTACGTCGACTACTTCCACGTAGAAAAACTATCCCCTAGCACAGTGGAGTGAGACCAGATTGCCCCCCGGTGAGAACAAACTTGGGAATTAGCTCTGCCTCTTTGTAACACAGGACATACTGAAATACATACAGGCATCTTACTTTTGTCTGTAACAAGCGGATATATGCAGGAAGATTCACACGAAAAAAATTCTTCTTTACACCCAATCTCCATAAGTAGCCAAAAACACACTAACCCCACCACCACCACTCAACCCACCCTCTCAAATTTTCAGACTTTTCCCCAGTCTTTGAGCACCATGGGATGCTGTGAAGGGAGCAGAAGGATATCTGCCTACCTGCGGACTGGCATGCGTCACGAAATTCATGCCCGGGGCCGAGGACAGGGAGACGGAGTGCGACCCAAGGGAGGACGCGATGACCCTGTACGGCGAGCCCAGCGCATTCACAGGAGACCCGATGGCGTTCATGGGGGATGGCAGCGCCCTTGAAGTGTTTGCAGGCGCCTCGAGGTAGTTGGGATGACCGTCTGCCGAATTCCCTGTGGGAAGGCTCGATGAGGGGCTCAAGGACGTGGAGCTGGTATGAACAGGGGAATCTATGGGGAGAGGCAGAAAGACTGAGTGCTGGGAGGCACGAAGGGATATGCACAGAGAGGAGTGTGGCAGCTGTGGTCCCCATCATGGGTGTATTTCTCCTGTTCTCATGCCCAGCTTCTCGTTAGACGTCTGACCCTGCTAGATGTCCTCACCCAAACAAACTCATCCTGATTCAGGTCACAGCACATCTGTGTGCCCACCAGCCACTGGTACCTTGTTTGCAAGTGAGCAAGCGTGCTTTATCCTGTCACATGAAAGAGTAAAACACTGGATTATGGGAAAGGAAATAGAGTCACAAAAAGCAACAAAACACATTACCAGGATAATACTTAGTAATCAAGTCTTCCCTCTCTGCTCCAGTGCCTCCACTAAGTCGGGAAGAAGGCAGTGCTGCCTGCCTGCATCGCGCTGGTCTTCTCCAAACTCTTCCTCCCCAGCTGGCAAGGACACGGCACGGAAAAGCAATATAACCTTGAGCGGTGTCACTTTGGGGCAGGCTTGGAGCCTGAACACATCACCCAGGGCCTAAAAGCTGTCTTTGACAAGACCAATCTCAAATCTGCAGAGGGTATTTAGGCACCAAACGCCCATCAATCTAGATGGAGTAGTTACCTAGCTGCCTTTTAAGGATGTATAGATGACCTTTTCTCCCTCCCCTAGAATTTACCGACTCCAGTTGGCATTATTTGTCGTTAAAATTTCAATGAACCATTGTTCCTCTGTTCACTTTTCAACATAGGAGCCCATTCCCTTGAGTGTCGAGGCAAGATGTCGTGCAGGAATGTCACGCAGTCGATTTTCCATGGCTGGCACAGAGGATGTTTGTTCCCATTGTGATTGCAAGTAAGGCCAAGTTAGTTTTTTTTTTCCTTTTAACATTATTGCAAAGTTATTTACGTGACAGTGTTTGTTATTTTACCTGAAGTAACAATCAAATCTGATTCAAAGGGAAGATGCACAATAAAGACGGGAAAAGGTCAGCTTGCTGAATAACATTAAAGACATTTGTCAGAGTCAAGGAGGACTCGATCTGCTGTTATCAACCCACTTCAGACTTAATTCTGCACAGGGAGAGGGGAGGAAAGGTCTTTGTCAATTCTTGCTTTGACTTTTTGGATCAATTCTCCCAGCGGGAAAGCAATGCGCAGCAAAAGGAAGCAGGCGCAGCGACAAGAGCAGGAGCCTTGGAGGCAGCGAGGCGGGCTGGTGGTTCAGGAGTGGCCGAGCCAAGATACAGGGTTTCATCCTCCTGCTGGAGACACCCACCCCACTTCCTCCCACCACCGCAATGGGACCTCTTTCTGCCCAGGGATACTACTCATACGCAGCAAATTTCCTATCTCCTAATGGCCTCCAAGCAAGAAAGCTTTCCACCAGGGAGGCAGCTGCCTGGATAGCCTTCACTGACGGGCAGAAGAAGTGCTCTTAGCGTCGCCCCTGCCGTATCTGTGCACCCTGCATGCAGTGGCTCCTTCCTTGTTTCCGAGGACTTCAGATGAGCCTCGTGACTTGGTCCATTAACAGCTTCAGAGGAAAGAGAACGTATTTTTCCTCACCTGCGAGTAGTTTGGTACCACACTGTACTGTCCTACCCAGCAGCTGCAGCACAGGCTTATAGGGAAAACGCTTTTATGTCCCTTTAAATAACTAGATAAATAGCATTGCCTTACAGAAATCTTCAGCTTGGAAAATAACCCATTAAAGGACAGACTGAGCAGAGATCTGTAATATCATGACAGGTATGCAGAAGAGAGATGAGGAAAAATTCTTCACCCTTTTCCATAACATAGAAAAGGGGACATCCTTTGAAGATACCATGCAGAGGAGTTAAACCAATAAGAAACACTTATTTGCACAGAAAGTCAAGCAGAGGAGCAGGACATGGTGGGAGATGAGACTGCAAAACCAAGAAGCGATTAGGGTAATTCAGAGAAGACACAGAGCTGCAGATACACTATAAGGTGCCTAGGGAATGAGCAGGTCTAGAAAAGACTCCCAGGAGAGTTATTTTGCCTGTTGGCACTTACACCAGACCTCGCAGAACTGCTGCCACCATGAAGGTTCTCTACCAGCAAGGTCCTCAGTCAGACTCCAGCAAAGCATTCACCCCAAAGGAGACAGCTTGCCAGAGTGAGCCTCGTGGCATGCTCACACCCATGCTGAGGGCAAGTGTTCACAGGGTATGTCCAGGGAGCTCCTCTGCCCCCCAGCACAGGATGAAGGTTGCTCCACCAAGTCAGGCAGCTGGGAAGGCTTGTGTCCACCACCCTTCTGCTGGCAGCGAAGCACTGAAAGGGGAGCTTGGGTGAACGAAGGAGCATTTGCTGGAGAAGGTGGATGGAGCAATAGAAAGTCTACAGGACAGCACGGGGGTGAAAGCTGGGCTCTGACAGCGCCTGCCTGATGAAACAAAGTGAAGTTGAGGCCTCATGTGAATTTAACTTACCACGGTGCCTGGCCACCTGCATGTGCCAGAGCCCAAAGTTTCTCTTTGGAAGCAGAGTGGTCTTCAGGAACGCTTTTCCACTCAAATCAGAACACACCGATCCAGCAACACCGTGTTTTGAGGAAATTTGGCTGCTGCTGGCAAAATCCCTTAGTCAAAACCCTTGATTTTGACTTTGCTTTTACCAACAAACAATTTTATCCATCCATAATAAAACTGCAATGCCAAACCCACCTAGAAAAGCAGAACCAAAATCAAACCAAAGCCCTCTCTGCAAGGAGATCCGAACTTCTCCCTGACTTCCAGCCCCTGCCCGGGATCAGCTCACCGAGCCAGTCTGTGAGGGAGCAGAAACGCTGCGTGCTGGCAGCCCTGCTCCACCGGGAGCTCCTCTGCAGCGGTCTTCAGAGACGGAGCAGGAGGGACGGGAGGAAGGGAGCCAGCCCCGCGTGCCAGCCCCGGCCCCGCCACCTCCACCGGGATTCGGTACGGGTGACATTTAAACAGGCCAAAGCGGATCCAGGTCTGTCCATCAGGTAATGAAATGTGGCAGCTGGATGCCGGAGACTCGGTCGGCCGCAGCAGGGCCCGGCGGGGTGAAGAGCCGGCCCCGCATCACGAGACGAGGTATCTGCTCCTCGCTGCCGGCGCAGTCCCTGGCCGGCCAGCTCCAGTACAGCTCCCGGCTTCACCAGGGCCCGCACATCTTCTGGGGACACCAGCTGAGACTGTGCTGCAAGTATGAGGGCTCACTACTACTTTTAACCACCTACTGCAGATTCAGAGTCACATTTGCAAATAAGATCAAATTGTTTTGCTCCACATATGGGTCTGTTTATGTTCCTCCCCTTCCCCCCCATTAATGCTTCAGCAAGTAGTTTCCTGAGCAAAAGTTTCAGGGAAGCCTGATTTTGTGCTTATTTCTATCTCGGAGGAGGAGGGAAGAGAGGGCAGCATGAGAAGGTGCTTTATGTGGATTCTCTGATGTCTCATGAGGGCTCGCACAGCGCCCTTTCTCTCAATGGGTGCACTAATGGAAAAGCCCCTCTTCTCTGGCAGCCCCTTACAGGATGGGGAGGTACATCTCCTGCTGAGGTCTTCCCAGCCCCATTTGAGAGAGGAACAACTGGACCACAGTAAGATGGAGAGGGAGGAGCGGACTAAGCACCCAAAATGCACACGGAGCCACCCCAAAGCTGTGGCCCTGACTCCACGGCCAGTGTGCCATGGGCTGGCACGGAGCCTGGGCACCACACGGGCGATGCAAAGGGTTGCTCCGAGCGCAAGCACACAGGATCCAAGGGACCCAGTGCCTGCGAACCGGCCCTCCACACGCTCCCTTGTACGCAGACTCATGCACACACTAGTCTTCCCTTCGTAGGAAGCCAAGTTTAAACGGAAAAGATGAGAGAGGGAGATTCTGGCTGCTTTGCTGTTCCAAGTCCCCTCTGCAAGCACAGCGCAGCGCCTGCTGCAGAGAGCAGCTGTGGGCTGGAAGAGGGCAGCCAAATGCAATGTGGGCCCTATGGCTTTAGCAATCAGAGTGAGGATCATATGAGATGAAAGACAGCTCTGCTGATGTTAGAAAAAATAGTGGGGAAAACCCCACAAAACACCCAGTTCTCCACATTTTGATAACAGTGCCCTTGAGGACAAGAACGGCAGTGTTACATTCACCCACCAGGCACCGAAGCTGAGATGGGACACCACAAAGCTTTGATTCTTTGCTGCCACCTGAGTTTCTATCTCCACCATGGCAAAATCCTGGCCCGAGGGTGGAAAACTCCCATGAACAGCCTGAGAAGGGTTTAAGCCTCCCAGGTCACACCACCAGGATCACAGGAGCACTGCGTCTCCATCAGGTTGGACGCACAGGAGTCTCACACAGATGCACCAGCACAGCACAAAGCTCCGGCTCCTTCATGCCAAGGCTAAGCAAGCCAGGCCTGGGTTAACACAACCAGACTGGTCCAGGACCAACACTTGTTTGAAAAAGCCAGCTTGGACACCTCTACCCTGCAAGCATTTCATGGGGCAAAGCTGGCCTGGGCCTGAAAGCAGAGACAAATTCCACCAGTGCACAAGCAGCCACACACATCTCCACAAAGGCAGTGGGTAGCAAAGCGTCCAGATTGCAGCAAATCAAACTGCCTGTTTTTATCCAAATCACGGTAGGAGGCACCTGTGTCAGCAGCTAGGTACGGACAAAGAGAGAAACGAGAACGCAGAGAGACAAGAAACCTTCCCCCCTACGCTGTCTGTTCAACTGGCACATTGGTTTCAGATTTGCTTTTCTTAATACCCACGCAGCCCCAGCGCAAGCAAACCCTTGGGAGGAGCAATCCCCCAGTTCAATGCCGAGGTCTTTCTTCAATTAAGCTGTAAAGCAATCCTGCCTCCTAAGACTTGCAGAGCCCTAGAGATGAGGATATCTTTGAGCTTTTCAGAGTTGTTCTTTAATATGTCATAGAGAATCAAAAGACAGAACAAACTTTAAATAATGAAAAGCATGTGCCTGCTTTTGAAGCCTCAGGTACATTAGGAAAGGGTTCATTTCTTTAACATAAGTCATTAAAGGTGTGAGTTGCCCTGCCTGACACACAGCTATCGAAATTTTGCAGGTACCTCATCCTCTACAGATCAGAGAGCACCAAGAAGCGGGTCAAGACATACAGACACGAGCTGTTTTTAGCAAAGGAGCACGGACATGCATGAGAGGCACCACTTGACAGACGGCTCATCCTTGGGGAAGACCTTCAAGATGAACTACCTGTGAGAAACACTCCTGAAATTGGAGGCAGCTGTGTAGCAAGGACCCCACGTCAACTGGAATCAAAGTTTTGCCCCTATGATTGCAGAAGTATTTTTTTTTTTTTTAAATGCATGGGAGGTTAGCACACAAAAAAAAATTCTAGTGATATTTTTAGCTGTCCATAGGCAATACAGCTCCCCGTGCTAATATCCTACAGAAGGGTTCTTGTTTGCACCTCACTTTTAAGGTCCAGCAACCTTTGTGCTTCCATCTTCACGCCCAACGCTGCAAGTCAATAAATAACGCAGGCTTCCCCTGATGGCCAGCATCACCGAGGAGTAGAGGTGCACGGAGGTGTGCTCGCACATGCGTAACCAGGGGCATCTGCAACAGGGATCTGCACACAGATAAGCGGGGGCAAGCGCGAGGAAGTTTCCCCGGGCGGCGGGAAGACCTCCTTTCGGCTCCCTCTCCTTTCGGCACGGTCGGCGGCAGGGCTGCACAGCTCCTGCGCTGCCCTGGCGAACCCAGGGCCTGCGAGGAGCGGCGGGGCTGGAAGCACACGAGACTTTCATCTGCCCTGACACAGCATCAGATGTGGTTTTGAGATTTTGCTCTGATTTGATGGAAATTAGACAGTAAGCTCAAGGCTTACTATGCCCAAGGTCACTCCGACGAGACGCACCTGCAGTGTGACCACATATGCTTCCCCTCCCCTGAAACCAAGCTACGGAGGAGGGAAGGAGGGAGTAAAATCCTCAGAAGCCAACACAGGGTTTATCATAGGTTTTAATGGGCACCAGGCACTACTGGGCATCGCTATTGCATTCTCGCCAAGCTACAGATCCCTTAGCAACTGCTTGCCAAGTAATTAAAATAAAGACCTCAAGCTAAATTCACTCACCCTAACAAGGTACCACATCCCCCGGTCCGGTGACCACAGTAACACACAAGGCTTGGATAAAATTTCCCTTCCGTAGAGAAAGAGAAGTCAGAACAGGAGGCCTGAAGGGCTTTTCGTGACCGTCCGGTCAGACTTCCCGCTTGGCCAGCGGTGTCTCCGGCACGGCATCCTCCAGGAAAAGCTGCTCACCGATTCCTACAACAGGCCTTAACCTCCCGGAGAGGCTACAGGTTCCCATCGAAGGGACCCCACGGCGGCAAGGTCTGCTGCAGCCCCGGGCAAACCGTCCTGACAGCGAGTCACTCCAGCTGTTAAAAAAATCTCCGCGCTTCGCTGGCCGCGGGAGTTTGCCCAGCCGCTGGATTTTGTCGCGCCTTCATCTGTCAGGTCAAAGAGCCCTGTGCCATCCTCACGTACGCGCTCGCAGGTACAGATGTTGCAAGTTCTGACGTCCAGCAAAAAAAGCAGCCCGTGAGGCCCAAAACCTGCGATCATCACGGGCAGAAAGGCACTAACTAGCCGGGCGGCAGCCCCGCTCCAGGCGCAACCTGGCTTTTCCCCTGCGGCTCTCCCAAGCCCCCAGATGACCTGGCCTAACCCCACTTCGCTTGGGAGAGCTGACAAGGCTGCAGCCGGAGGTGGCGGGGCTGCAGGCCAACTTACATGGCTACTAATAAAAGAGACTTTGTGGAGGAGCCAAGTCGGTTCTCGTCCCCAACCAACTGGGCTCGGGAGTGCTCGGAGAGAGGGGGCAGCCAGCACAGCAGCTTTCCTTGCCCCGGGAGCTGGGCTCCGGATGAAACTCATCCTTTTAGTGAATAAAAACACATTTTGAAGCCTTTTCCATGTTCTTATGTTCTTTGCTGTGAAGGCAAATCCATCCGCCTTCATGTGCTCCTCCCGCTGTAGATGTGCCAGGGTGACTAATCTGAACACTTTTGCTGCCACTCTATGTGCTCATCAGCGATGCTTCACAGTCCCAGCACCCTTTTTCTCATCACAAACGAAGTGCTTACTACCAATTGTGCGCGTGTGTCCTCAGACTCAAATCTGACAGCATTATTCAGCCGTTTAAAACTGGAAATGACAGTCAAATAACACCGTCAAAAATGTGCACCTTATTTCTAACTCAAATGCAGATAGCATTAAGTTAGAGAGTATGTCTCAATTACCTGCATGTAAAAAAAAAAATACAGTCTTCACGTGTTACTGCTATGCTGAAAACTAATCTCAGAATTTCAGAGCTAAAACATCCAAATGCAATAAAATCTCGGCTTGCCATGCATCAGCAGCCGCATCACCTTAACTCTGCCCTCCAGCAGCACAGCGCAACACCAGTGCAATGAAGTCGACGTCCTCATGTGAACAATGCCGCTGTCCACTGACCCGTTTTCCCTCTTCATGGTGCCAGCCCAGGCAGGACAAGGAACAGTTTCATAGCTATGTTTGGCAGGGAAGCAAAGACCATGAAGGTCCGTAGGACCTACGAGACACCAAGGCTACACGTGTGGGCTTTGTGGTGAGGCATCAGGAAGCTCCGGACACCAGGCAAGCTTCCCGTTGCATTAAGACATCCAAGCCACAATCTCACTGCCTCCCACCGTGCTTCTCCTACCCTCCATCTTTCAGTCCCCACATCCCCTTGCGGGTCCCTCAAGGAAGGACATGGAGATGAGAGTGGGAGGGAGGCCACAGAGGACAGTTACAGGTGACTAAGCAGGGGCTGGAGAGCGTGGCGAGAAGCCAGGAACTGCCCACAGATGCTCAGTCCTCCCAGCCAGAGCTGCCTCCGGGGCACTGGAGCCCCCGGCTTGGGGAAAGCACAGCCGGGAGCAGCAACACGGGGGCTCCGGGACGGGCTGGAGCCACCGTTCAAAGCAGCCCAGACAAGCACTTGGCCGAGGCATTCGCATCGCCCTCAGCGATTCGCTGGCAGAGAACGCCTCAATTTTTTTAAACCGAGTTAAAGGCAAGTTAAAATGCTAGTTAAATACACTTTTAACTAAATGAAAGTTAAAGTCCTAGTGTTTTGAACTTTCGGGGAGTTAGAGAACAATGCTTTAGTCTCTCTTGGTGGTAGCAGAAATACCTCTTCTGCCAACACTTGCCTCCCCTAGAAACCTCCCAGACGCTCTGCTGAGCGTTGCGAGCCCTGTGCAGACCGGGGTCTGGGCCTGGCTCTTACGAAGATCAGTTTGAATGTTATTTTTCTTTTCTCTCTTTGTTAATTTTTAGTACCCAACAAACTCAAAAACAAATATGCCGCATTTATCATTTCAGTTTTCTTGCAGCAACAGGAGGCAGCTCAGGTTTCATCTCCCTGTTCCTTAAAATCATGAGCGGGCAACAGATTTTTTTCTCTAACAAGTCATCTCTTTCCTGCAGAAACCACCTGAAAAGGTATTTTGGAAAGTCAAGGGCTCGTGAAACGCGGGGAGGATTTGGTGCAACGTCAGTGACTTTGCTACGGTTAGAGACTTAGCAGAGGTGAGCGCCTGGGGCGCAGCGGGACGTGCCGGC